CCCCCCCCCCCCGCGCCATTTATTTTTTCTGTTTTCTCTTCTTTTCTTTTTCTTATATAGTTATTTAATAATCTGATTAATTTGAACCAAAAATAACAGGAATAATCTAATTTAAACAATAATTGAATTAGCCTTGAAAAATGCTCTCATTATTTCCAGAGTTGTAAAGGGAAGAAATTTTGGTATATGATGGGCTGGCCCACCTATGTTCTTCAACATATCTATTGGATCAATATCATGCAAAGAGCCCGTCACAACTGGAAGAAGCCCATAAAAAAGTCGGGGAGGCCCAGTGTGCTTCTTTCTCCTGTCTACATCCCCTAATTCGACACGTGCTAATGTGAACCGTATTCCCAGCATATTGGCTACATCGATCAAAAGAAAATTCCTATTACAACCACCACGAAATTAAAAATTATCCCCTATTTAGTAAAGATTAAAACATAATTTTATCCAAAGTCAAATTAACAATTCGTTTTAATAACATCTTTTAATGAATTCACGACTTTTCAATCACATCCAGGAGCGAACGCAGACATTTTACATTAGGGGGTCATAATCAAATTTTTAAAAAAAGCGACGAAATATTTTTTTATTATTTTATGTGGCTTATAAACTATTATACTACTTTTTCATTTTGATTATTTTTACATAAAAAAAAATTTGATCATTTTTAGGATTTTTTATTATTGTTATTTTTTCCTCTCAATCAATTAATTTTTTTTAAAAAATAATTTAAAAAAGTTCCTAATAAAATTTTTAACGTCAATCGAGAGGAAAATGTAACAATAATTAAAAAAAATCCTAAAATTGATTGAATTTTTTTATATATAATTTTTTTCAGATATAAAAATAATCAAGATGAAAAAGTAGTATAACAATTTAAAATCCCTGCAAAGTAATAAAAATTTTATTAAGAATTTTTACGTCCAAAAAAATTAAATTTTGACGTCATACCACATATAAATTTTCCTAATAAAACGATGTAAATTATATTTAGAAATTTGTCGCGAAAAAATAATAAACATTAATAAAATAATTGATTTTTTCTTTAAAAAAGACGAGTTATACGTTTCTTTTTAGCATACACGTTTAACGTACGTCTAACTATTTTCGATATTCATTTAGATCATTCGATGTGTTTATAATATAGTTCTCGAAATGAGTTTCGAGAAAATATAGTAAATTTATAGATATTGCTAGCGTATAATTGTCAATTTTTTTTTAAAGTTAGCTTGTTATCAGAATTCTCGAAATATTAGTTTATAACAACTTATTTTGATGCGTCGTAGCATTTGCTACGATTGGTCATTTCGCACAACATTAACAACGTGAAATATTAGGCTGTGAGTACTTCAAAATGATATTAAAAATGTAATATTTCAATTTCGCTTGATATTTCATAGTGAGCCTGGAAAAAAAAACTTACAAAAACTAGACTGGAGGGTCAAGTGACTCTAGAGGACCCCACTTGGGTCTGCCCCTGATCATATATTTTATCAAATTTTTATATAAATCTGCGAAAAACCTAATTTTAATCTATTCAAAAGGGGCATAATAAGCCAAAGTCAAGGTCTTGTTACTGATTAAGAAGATTGTGCATTGTGACAAATATAGATACCTGCTTTATAATGTGAAGAAAAAAATGAGGTAATTGACAAGCAATTTCAAACTCTTAGTGCACTTATTTATGCTTTTTGACTTTATAATAATCCATATCTGACTTGAATTTAGAAGCCGAAGGACAAATGTGGAAAATCATTCCAACTTGTCATCCAATGCTTAGTTGTGAATGCATGAACAAATTCTCTAATGAAGTACTCTCTTGAGGTTGACGATGATCCAACTTGTCATCTAACGCTTAGCTGTGAATACATGAAAATTCTCTAACGAAGCACTCTCTCGAGGTTGATGATGATTGTAAAAGAAGTTAACAAAAATTATCTTATAATCCTAAACCCATAAATGTTCAACAAAGTGTATGTATGTCACATCAATCAATATTGAAAGACTTGATATATTATACGCTGTTTCTGGGATTTACTAATTTTAAAATTTATTTCTTTTGAACTAAAATTTTCTCAATAAAACAATATTATATATAAATTCAAAACCTTTTTTTCTTTTTCTTTTTTAACCATATATTTTACAAAAAATTACTATTAAAAACACATTTATTATAACATCTCTAATACTAATGTGGATTGTACTAAAAAAGATGTCATATAAGTTAAAATAGCTATGTCTGCAAAAATCCATCACCAATGCAGCATCTTTAGGATTACATATAATTAAAGTGGTAAGAGAACAAATAGATACTGTCAAGAAGATCGTATAAATATAGAAATTCTTATAGATAGAGAGACTCATCATAATTTACATTTCTTTATTTTTCTTCCATTATTTCTTATTTTTCTACATTCTATTAAGCCCATGTTTGGTTTTAATATAAAATATTTAGTTGAATCAGGTTGCGGTAAATATCATGGGCAATTAGCACAAAACGTCCTCACCTTTCAGTGTTTTGTGCAAAATGTTCATATCTTTTATTTTTGACACTTTTACCTTTACCTCCATTTTTTATTACGGAAAACATCATTTGCGTCAAATTTCTCATGCAAATGGCAAATATATCCCATATTCAAATAAAACAATAAAAAAAAGAAAAATTAAAAAATAAATTGCAATTATACTCCCAAACTTAAATTACTCCAAATAAATTATTAAAAGGATAATTAGCACAAAACGTCTATACCTTTAATTATTATTGTGTAAAACGTCATTACCTTTCATTTTGTGACATTTTCATCCTTATTTTTATATTTCACTACAAAAATCATTATTTTAATCTATTTTCTCAATTGAAAGCTGTAAAATGACAAATATGTCATCCCCTTTAAATAAAAAAATAAAGAAAAGAAAAATAAAGAATAAATTGCAACTACATACTCTACACTTCCAAAATTAAAAAAAAAAGTTGCAATTTGTTCTTTATTTTTATTTTTTTATTTAAAGAAGATGACATATTTGTCATTTTACAGTTTTTAATTGAGAAAATGGATGAAAATAATGATTTTTGCAACGAAATATAAAAATAAGGGCGAAAATGTCAAAAAAAGGAAAGATAGAGACGTTTTGCACAATAGTAATGAAATGTAGGGATGTTTTGTGCCAATTACCCATTTAATAATTTATTTGGACTAATTTGCACTTTTTAAAAAGTTTGAGAGTATAATTACAATTTATGCTTTAACTTTTCTTTTCCTTTTTATTGTTTTATTTAAATAGGGGATATATTTGTCATTTACATGAGAAATTTGACGCAAATAATATTTTTCGTAATAAAAAGAGAAGGTAAGAATAAAAGTATCAAAAAATGAAAGATATGAACATTTTGCACAAAATATTGAAAGGTCCATGGACCCTTTTAGCAAGCTAGGAATATGCCTCCTAAATTGAAAAAAATTATCTATTTAAATATTAAATAGATTGTAATTCTTGGAATGTATTAGAAACGTTCTAGAAAACAATTGTTAGTACAATATTTTCTAATTTGTTTTGGAAAAAATCTATAAAATTTTCAAGAAATATCAATATCATTTTTTTTAATAATTGTTAATAAATGGGCAAATTAAGAAATTGACACGACATGCACTAACGTGGCAAGTTACTATTTTTTTATGTAAAGCCTCCACCGCCTTGCATTCGCATCAGTAACAAAGCCAACAGTTTCCGGGTATCAATGGAAGCCCTCCCTTTGTCATCGCCGGCAGCAAGCGGCACCGCCACGCGGAAGCGCGAAACTTCGGCAATGTCTCGTCTGAAGAAAAGGTGCCTGTCCTGTGCAGTTTCAGTTGGAGAAATTTTCCGGTATCTGAAAGCAATCGCGGTGGGTCAGACTAAGAAAATGATGGCGAAAACGGAGAAGGAAGCAACGGAGGCGGATTTGCAGACGGCCAAGATGCAGGTGGAGGCCGCCGATGAAGCTGAAAATATCAAGAAGCGACTTGATTAATCCATGTCTAAAAGTTCTCTCTTTTGTTTTCCAATTCGAGTGTATAACTATACATATATATTTCATCTTTGCAAGCCTTCGTAAATAATTTAATAGTGTCATTCCCGTAATGTGTATCAGTCTAACAATTAAAATCTAAATTTTCATTAAATTAAAGTTCTCAATTTTTCAGTTATATATTTCATCAGTTTTTTATTGAAGTTTATGAAAATTTTGAAGTTAATCCCACCAATCAAATAAAGTCCTCGCCTCCATTATTTCAAATTTTAATAGGTGAAACTTTTTTTTTTTTTTTTTTTTTGAGAATGAGTGGTTAAAACAGAAGAAATTTTTTTCGATTTACTTATAATATTATTTTACGAAGAATTTTTTAATTATAAATAGGAGAGAGAAAAATAAAAATTAATTTAATGGAACTAACGGGGTTTATGTTTAATTCTATCATGAATATTTGTTCAATACATATTTCGTTTTATGCGTTCTGACAAATGTCATTTACAACTAGTCGTTATCACGTGCATTGCACGAATTTTGTATTTATCATATTTTTATTAGTGTATGAATTTTAATTTTTTTGAAAAGTTTTTAAAACAATATCTACAAATATTTCTATGATATAAGAAAATAATTGTAAATTATTTTTACAATTGTATAGTAGTATGTTATCTAGAAAAAATATGCTTGAATATTTCAGACTTGAATAAAAAATATACAAACAATTTTACTTATATTATTTGATAGTGTTGATATGATTGAATTGAATGCGAAAATTATATTTCTAAATTTTGTGTAATTTAATATTTTAAAACTGAAAAAAAACTCTCCGCACAGTGCAGAGAGAAAAAAACATCTTCACACAGTGCGGAGAGAGTTGACCATGTGCAGAGAGTTGACGAACTCTTCGCACAGTGCGGAGTAAAAAAAAAACCTCTTCGCACATTGTAGAGAGAGTTAATCTCTTCGCACAATGTGGAGAGTTGGTCCGCACCATGGCAAAACTCTCCGTACAGTGCAAAGAGGAAAAAAAACTCTCTGAACAATGCGTAGAGAGTTAAACCACGTGCGGAATAAAAAAAGTGCGGAGAGAGTTGAACCATAGGCGGAGTAAAAAAAAAAAAATTCTGCACAGTGCGGAGAAATAACAAACCAACTCTCCGCACAGTATAGAAAGAAAAAAACTCTCCGCAAACTATAGAAAGAAAAAAACTCTCCGCACTGTGCGGAGAGTTGTCTTCAAATTCCTTAATTACAAATCAAATTTCAAGATTGTAAATTTTTTTGTATATATAACAAAACAAAATCAAAAAACATGGCTCAAAATCAATTATGTCTTTTTTAAATTACAGTCACATCTCAATTTCTAAGCATACAAATCATATTTACGGTATTGGAAAGGAGTTTTCTCGTGATTCATACAATGAAACAATACGTGAGTTGTGCAAAGAAGGGGATATTGATAGTACCATGAAATTGTTTTCAAAAATGGAGGCTCTAGGGTACCACCCAAATTCAATATTTTACACTTGTTTGATAACAACTCTTTGACATTAGGAGCGGATACAATTTTCAATGAAATTATACTTTCGGATTGTAGGCCAGGAATTAAAGTGTTCAATACATTGCTTAAAAGTTATTTGAGAAAAAACTTCTTGGAACTTGCATATAAAGTCCCGAGAGTTTTTGTTTTTCTCTTCACACTGTGCGGAGAGATAATTTGTCATCTCTCAGCACTTTGCGGAATTATTTTTTTTCCTCATATACGGAGATTTTTTTTATTTTTTGTCCCATGGAGTTTATGTATACTAAAATTATTATTATTATTTTAATGTTGTTGGCATGATGCGTGTATGGAAGAATATTTGTCAATCACCATAAATGAAATTCTTCTCAAAATGTAAAGAATAAAAATACATAATAAATCTTCTTATTACGCTAATAAAATTACAATAATTTTTTTTTACAAATAACATAAAAAAATCATTTTTATTTTCAACAAAAAAAATTAAAAATTAGCAATTTCATAACCACTTTTTTTTTTAATTCTCGGAAACACAATTATAAAAAAGGAAATAATATTGAATTACAACATTTAATACTTAAGAAATTCAATATTAAATAAATTTTATATATTTATAACAAATATAAATCCATATATGCAGCTTACCGTATTTGTAGGCAACTTACCGTAAATACAACTTATCGTATATGCTACATACCGTATTTGCAAACAACTTACCATATTTGCACCTTACCGTATTTGTTTCCTACCTATTTGCAGACAATTTACCGTATTTTTACCTTACCGTATTTACAGCTTACCGTATATGCTGCCAACCGTATTTACAATTTACCGTATATGCTGCTTACCGTATTTGTAGTTTAGTGTATTTTTATATACCGATTTTTGCACTTACAAATACCGAGAATGCAGAACACTGTACATTCACTTACCAAATCGAATTTCAAATTTTTTTTCAGATTTTTATTTTTTCAACAAAAGCATAAAATAAATATTAAAGATATATGAAGCACAAAATATAAATGCATATGAATATGATGTTCAATCTTATTGAATTATACAAAATTTAGAAAAATAATTTTCACATTCAACTCAATCATGTTAACACTATCAAAGAATACAAGCAAAATAATTTGTATAATCTCGTATATTTCTTATTCAAGTATAAAATATACAAGTATATTTTTTCTAGATGACATAATACTGTTATACAATTGTAAAAATAATTTGCAATTATTTTCTTATATCATGAAAGTATTTCTAGATATTGGTTCAAAATTTTTTCAAAAAACTAAAATTCATACACTAATAAAAATACGATAAATACAAAATTCGTGCAACGCACGTGACAGTCACTGTGCGGAGAGTTTTTTTTTTAACTTCGCACTGTACGGAGAGTTTGCCAACTCTCCGCACTGTGCGAAGTTTTTTTTTTTTTTCTCCACACTTTGTGAGGACAATGTCCGCACAGAATGTCATCTCTCCGCACTATGCGGAGAGTTTTTTTTTTACTCCTCAATATGCGAAGAGTTTGCCAACTCTCTCCGCACTATGCAGAGAGTTTTTTCTTCTCTCCGCACTGTGTGGAGAGTTTTGCAATGGTGCGGAGAGTTGGGAAACTATGCAGAGAGTTTTTTTTATATACTTTGTACTATGCGAAGAGTTTGCCAACTCTTAGCACATGGTTTTCCATCTCTTTGCACTGTGCGGATATTTTTTTTTACTCCGTACTATGCGAAGAGTTTGTCAACTCTCCACACATGGTTCAACTCTCTCCGCAATGTTTTTTACTCTGCACATGGTTCAACTCTCTCCGCACTATGTGTAGAGTTTTTTTCCCTCTGCACTGTACAGAGAGGTTTGCCATGGTTCCAACTCTTTGTACTGTGCGGAGGGTTTTTTTTAAATACATTGCACTATGCGAAGAGTTTGTCAACTTTCCGCACATGGTTTGCTATCTCTCTGCACTGTGTGGAGGTTTTTTTTTCTTATGGCAGTTTATACATATTAAAATTATTATCATTATTTTTAATACTAATGGCATGATGTGTGGAAGAACATTTATCTGACCATAAACAAAATGGAAAATAAAAAAATGACATCATGTACAGTAAAATTGGATTAATTTACTGTTGCATCAATAGTAGTCCTTCGTTCCCCCTTATAAAAATAAGGAAATCATTTATTTCTAAAAAAAATCCACTCTAATTTGGGTAAAAAATACAACAATCTCTACCTTGACCCAAATTTCGGTGCAACGAACAAAATTTCAAATCCGTCTACATCGAAATAGCCAATCTCCTCAACACAGTAACCAAAACTCTCCATCACTAAACCATCTTCCTCTGCAAGGCATCCACACACGACACCTGAAACCAACTCTCGGGTCCCAAAATTCTACCAAGGAATTACTGTTGACCAAACAGGGTCGAAGTACACCCTGTAGTAGAAACCAAACCAAGTGCTTGATCAGAAGGCCCCTTGTTAGAACTATCACCTTCAACGATCCCAAAAGCATCACAGACATCAATAACACCACGGTACCTACGCTCTATGAGTCCACCCCTGACATTTGAACACAGTCCATCCACTGAAATTGATGGCAAAACGAAATCACCAACGCTCTCTCTAGCAGTGTTCAGAATCGATCCAGAGCCCAACACAAGAGGTACTGTACCAAACTGAATATCCACCACGATACTGAACTTGTCCCAATGTCTCAAAACTGGTTCTGCGCTTCCCTGCAATATGTACAACTGGAATCTCTTTCGTCCCTCCAGTACTACCCGGACACCATTTCGAACCTTCAAGACTCCACCTCCACCAGAAAATTTGTACCCTTTTGCATCCAAGGTGCTCAGTAATATGAGATTCTTTGTCAAGTCTGGAACATGATGAAACTGATCAAGTGTCCTCACTATCCCATCTTGTAGCCTCAATTTGACCCGACCAATTCCTGCAGCCCGGCAAGATTGGTTGTTTCCTATGACAACTCCACCTTGCTTCATCGTCTCATATGTCTAGAATAACGCCCTATTGGGACACATATGATAAGAACATGCAGAATCCAGAATCCATTCATCAGGTTTAGATTCCCCGTCAAATACAGCCAACATCACATCTCCATCATCACAAAAATTCTCAGCAATATTAGTCTCGTTCAAATTACCTGATTGCCCCGCATGAGTTGCATGTAAATTGCCTTTACCCTACAACTTGTCGCAATCTTTCTTGATGCGTTCTTTCTTCTTGCAGTAATAACAATACACATTGCTGTACCTCACCTTCGATCTACCCCTCCGTCGATCACCATGAGTAACAAGAGCATCCCCACCCCTAGATGTAGGATCTTCAACCAACAGCTACATCCTCTCATTTGAGAACAGGGCTTCATATACCTCCTCAATGGTAAGCGTGTCACGACTATACAGAATAGTATCACGAAATGACGAAAAAGAACTGAGTAGCGAACAAAATAGGATCAAGGCTAGATCCTCTTCATCATATTTTACCTCTAACGTCTCCAGATCTGCAACAATCTCCTTGAACACAGCAAGGTGGTCCAGCAGTGACCCTCTTTTCGGCATGCGATGAGAATACAACTTCTGCTTTATAGTCAGTTTACTCATCAGACTTTTTGCCATGCACAACTGCTCCAACTTGAGCCACAAAGCAGCCGCTGTCTTCTCTTTCAAAACATCCTGCAGTAAATTATTGGACAAATGAAGATGAATCAATGATGTAGCCTTCCTATCCTTCCGTTGCTTCTCCTCCATAGCCCAAGTTGCTGGCATATTCTCAAAGCCCAGCAAAGCATCATCAAATTCCATTTGCATCAACACATCCCTTATCTTTACTTACCACAGTGAAAACTTTGTATTGCGATCCAGCAGCGGAATATCATACTTCATCGAAGCCATCTCTGAAAACCTCAATCAAATCACGAAGAACTTGCAACCTTGCTCTGATACCACTTGTTGGGATCGACAGGTTGTAAAAAATGAAGTTAATGACGCGATAAGAAATTAATATGGATTGCAACAATATAAAAATTTATATCAAAGTATAAAGTAAAAGAAAAAAAAGGAATTAACGCAGAGGCAAGACATATTATTAATTGAAATTATGGAGAGAATACAACGCCACAGCAATATTGTCATCTACTAAACTAAAAGAGGATACCACTATTTATAAATACATGGCATAGTATAAAGATGGAAATAATGTGGAATAAGGAAATAACATATTTCCATAAAACTCACGTGAAATATAAGGAAACAAATTTTTCCATATAAAAATAAGGAAATAATTTATTTTCAAAAAAAAAATCCACTCTAATTTAGGTCAAAAACCCAACATTGTCAGTTTCTCTTCTTCTTCTTTACTTTAAATCTTGTTTCTATGATTGTGATTTTCTATATTTCATATTGCTCTATAAATCTCAAAGCAGTTCTCCATAAAATTGGTGGTTTATTGTTGTTCCGCCTCAAATAAGAATAGTACCTATCTTGGGCTAATAATCTACCATGAATGCTACCCCTTCCATCAGCATGTAGAAAATCTGCTATAGCTGGAAAGTTATATGACCAATTTTGAACTTTTTTCATCTGAATTGATATAAATGAAAAGTTTGGCAGGAAACTATATTTGTTGCTTCTATTTTTGTGCCCCATCTTCGAATGCGATTCATGATCTATACTCCTTGGTAACACCATCTTGTAGTTGAGTTTGTAACATTTTGCCCATTTTTTCTTTATACATTGATGATATTGCAATTGCAGAAAATGGATAAACACGTGACAATTTTCCACAAATGAAGCCATTTCTAATTAGAAGAAAATCATCTTGAGAGCTGTATCCATTGCATGACATGATAGTAGCGACAAATGTGAAGTAACGGTTGAACAATTAGGTCACAAATTTGAAACAACGATCACAATTTTATCTAGTGCAGATGCAAGAGAAGTAGTAGAAGACAAGGTGTTTCGCTAAAAAAAAAAAATTCTAAAAATGAGCTTGACATTCTATCCAATCGGGTTTATAGCCATTCGATTAGACAAAAAGGAATATATTGTCAGGTTTTCTCACCATGATTGCAAATGGACATTCATGTAATCAAGATTGGGGTAAAAGAGATGTTTAAGATTAAAGAGATGGATAATGATTACATTATTCAGACAAATGTCAAACTCCATTATATCCCTGCTAACTCGTTAGATGTCTGCAATATTCAATATTTATCCAGAGAAAACTCGTCATTCATCCATTAAACCAGAGATTATGTAAAATATCCCGTTCGAAATTTCCATTGAAGATGAATATAATCTAAAATGTAGAATTTCTTTGTACTTCATTTTTGTACTTTATTTTTGCAATCCTTGATTCCCTCCTCATATTCCGATGCTCATCGATGAGTTTCTGGAAAAAAAATGCCCATTTTTCTAGACAGTAATCATCTTCTTATGCATTCTCTGAATGTCTAGCCATTGGAACCCTGGAAAGGACTCCTAAATTTGAGTTTTCGTGGAGTTCTGATAATTCCCTTTGTACATCTCGATATTGTTTGGCTTCTTCCAGTGACGAATGCAGGATTTGAGGTCAGCTAGGGCAATTATTGCCATTGACTGTCGATAGTCAACAATCAGAATAACGAGATTGTTTATTAATATTTATTTAAATAATATTAAAATTCTTTACCCTATATGTAAATGTACTAAATCGTAAATTTATCGATTTCACTTATCACAGATTCACATATCACAGTTCACATATATCACATATTCTCAAAATTCACAAAATCCCAATTTTTCACATCATAACTCATAAATAATAATTCACAGTCATAACTCATAATAAATTATAACTAAAAAATGATGAATTATAACTCACAATCAACTTATAAAACAGAAAATTATCTATGCATCATCAAGAGACGTATAAATTTTTACAGAAAATCAACAAAATCATGCATACCCAAACAGTGTATTAGTGCATTTCTATCAATATGTGTATTTACGCATGAAGCAATATACAGAATTAGATGGAATATTACTAAATTATAAAAACATGTGAAGCAAAAATGTAGAAAATAAGCAAATGAACTGCCTCATTAGTAAAATGATTTGATGCAAAATTTTAGACACAGAAAAATTATACCTTGTTGCCAAAACCCTAAAAGCCCATTCTTTTGGGTACATCACAAGACTAATAAAAGGCCTAGACATTTCACCTATTTTCAGAAGAGCAATCGCGAAGCTGGGAGTGCCGGCATGCTATGTGATGGCGTAAGTCGGAGAACGGGAGCCAGGCAGTCGAGAGGTCGAGGATAGGGTTTGGTGTGAGATGAAACGTCGTATGAAATGAAAAAGTCTATGGGCTTATTTCCTTTGCAATTCTTAATGGGTTATTGTTTTTTTTTAAAAGTCAAATAAAGAAAAGGCCCAAAATCGAAAAACAAAAAATTGGCCCAAGAATACACCTTCTTCCCCTGTAACTGGGGTACTTTTAAAATTGACTTGGTCAAATCATCTAAATTTCAGATTGACTTCTCAGCAAAGGGATATTATGAAAATGACCTATCCAATGTTAAAAGACAAAAATACCCTTAAATACATTATACAATTACAAAAGTTGATTTTTTTAAAAGACATCAATACCCTTTTACTTAACAAATAAAAACAAAACACTTTCTACTTTTCTTATCTGTTTACTCCAACACAAATAAATAAAACACTCACATTCTTCATCTGCTTCAACCGTAGAAACTAAAAAAATTATCGAAATCGGAAGTCGAAAAATTTGCGGATATCAATCTCGTCGGTTCGGTATGCTTAAATCGATAAATTGTATTTCGACATCTAATTAGTAGATAAAAAAAAATTTAATAGATCTGTAATTTTTTAAACATTTGACCAGAAAAAATTCATTTGCATATATGCCGACGTCGGTAAATCGACTGTTTGACCGGCTGTTTAACAACCTATTTAAATAGTCAGCTATTTGTCAACTGTTTTCCTTTTTCCCCATTTTTTTGGATTATTTTTATTACTGTTGATTTTTTTTTTGTAATTAAAAATTCTGTTTTGACAGGCAGATATGGTTGTAGTTTCAGTTTGTTACTTTGGTGATTTCGAATTGGGCGAAAAAGATCAATGAGTATGGAAATGGACAAGTGCTAAACGTGGTGGTATCGCAATTTTCATATCATCAGGTACATCGTATGCAAAACTCTATAATGATTTACCGAACAAGTTGAATGTTGATCATTCTTAGTACAACATGGAATTGAAATTTAAATTCAGCGAGTATGCATTAGTTTTGATTCCACCTATAATGATTTCTTCTGTTGATGAAGTGAATTATCTGATTGAATTGAACAATAAGCACACGACTCCTCTTTGCGTGACTTTAGTAAGGAAGGATGTCGTCAAAGATGAACAAGTAGACTCGAGAGGTGGGGATCACAATGCTAATATTTTTGAGATATGATGGAGATAGCTCTTGAATATGATGTGGTTATTTCAAAGATAGTTGCACACAGAATCCCCTCCATTGCTCGTGACAAGGAGATTGAAAATGCAAATACTTTTACAAACGAGGACTTGATTGCTTTATCCCGGCAGAGACATGAGTAGGGTGGGACCTCGGGGGCTAGATCGAGTGGATCGTCCTCTAACTCCTCATGTGTGGTTCCCTATAATGAGGATTTATATGTCGAGCAATTGTTTGAAACGAAGAAAGGTTTGCAAGAAGCCGTACACCTAATTGCACTGAAATACAACTTCGAGTTTAGAATGAAAAAATCAAATAGGTCGTTGTTGACGCTATCATGCGTAGATGATAGTTGCAGTTGGCATTTGCAAGCGACGAAAATGGACACGAATGAGTGCTTTGTAATTCGCAAATATACACGAGAACATACTTGTGAAGTGGGAGTTTGTCGCAATGATTACAGGCGAACCCGAGCTTGGTTTATTGGTCGACAGATAATGCATAAGTATCAGGATCCACAAACAATCTATAGACTATTGGACATCATTGCTGATGTTTGTCGAGAGTACGGAGTAGTCATGAGTTACCAGAAGGCTTGGAAGGCTAAAGAATGCACGTTGGAGGATTTAATGGGCCCGACAGAGGAAAACTATGTTAAATTGGCCAGATATTTCTATAACATGGAGAAAACTAATCCTGGCTCGGCATTTATTGAGACGGAGGCCGAGAACTGCTTCAAATCCTTCTTTATGGCCTTGGACAATACATTCGGGGATTTTGAAATGCTATAAGACCCCTAATTCTAGTCGACGGTACAACTCTGAAATCCATATACCAAGACAAGTTGATTATTGCTATATGTCAAGATGCAAACATTTAAATTTATCCTCTTACATTCGACATAGTTGATAACTAGAATGATCTGTCGATGCGTTGGTTCTTCACAAAGCTCAGAGAAGTAATTGGAGAAGTCGAGGACCTTGCATTTGTCACCGATCGGGGACAGTCTATAATAAATGGTATTGCTGAAATTTTTCCTGATACACATCATGGGTATTGCATGTACCATATACAAGGCAACTTAAAGACCAGGTATCGGGGCAAAGACATCGTTTTCCTGATACATATCATGGGTATTGCATGTACCACATACAAGGCAACTTGAAGACCAGGTATCGGGCCAAAGACATCGTTTCATTCTTTAGGAAAGCGGCCGAAACTTACAGTAATGAAGAGTGTAATAGGTACATGGTTGAAATGGGAAGTAAATCATTCCCGACATGGGACTATCTAATGAAAATGGGGATTGAACATTGGGAGCGCTTATATTTTTCAGAACGTCGATACAACATGATGACGTCAAACAACGTGGAGTCTCTCAATGTATTATTTAAGAGGGATCGAGAGTTACCCATTCTCTCACAGATTGAGAATATTCGTACGAAGCTGCAGCAGTGGTTTTATGATCGACGTGCGGAATCACATAATTGCACAAGCGTGCTAGCCCCAGCACAAGAGGTAAAGCTCTTCAAGGCTACGAGAAAGTTAAATGTCGAACCACTAGACGAGTCGCGCTTCGCTGTGGAATGTGTACGTCATACGACATACATGGTAGATTTAATTGATGGAACATGCACTTGTAAACAATTTCAGTTAGAAAGTTTTCCATGTGAGCATGCAATTGCGGTGGCTATCTATCGATGATTTACAGCGAGAACATTGTACTCTCCTTATTACACTGCTGAAAACTGGAGAGTTGCGTATGTTAAAACCATATTTCTGCTTCCAAACGAAGCCAAGTGGGAAGTTCTCAATCATATTCGCCTGTTCAATACATTGTCGCCACATCTCATTGAACCACGTGGTCCTGGACGTCTAAGTACTTCTAGAATACCATCTACTGGAGAGTTTTCCCGACCGCGTAGGTGTAAAAGGTGCAAATTAGTAGGACATACTCGCCAATTTTGTACAAGTCAGGTTCCCCTAAATGACAGTTAGAACATCGTGTATTTACATTGAAATAAACAGTATTTATATGAATAATTACAAACAATTGCAAAAAATAGTTACAAACAATCACAAAAAATAATTACAAATATTAATTACAAAAAATATTTACAAATAATTTATAGATCACAATTAAATTCGTATAAATCACATGCGAACTTATTTTGTCAATTCTGTATCCATAACTGGTTGATTCCATCAACTTTATGTGCTACACTAAAAAAATTATGTATTTGATTGCGAAAATTCCACAGTCGCCCCTGCAAATGAACAAATATGTGTTAGTTCGGTTTCAATTACATACGAACTGATTACTAAATTTAAAAAAAAAAGATTACAAAGACTTACGATATAGACTATCTCACCGTCGTCCTGTCCCACACGATGGCTAGTTTATCATCCACAGTCAAGCCCACATGTCTAGCCATCATAGGAACAATCACAGTCACTGGCTCCAAGTTCTGGTCGAGCTATCCCTATGTCAGATATGAATGATCGAGATCATACACATATATCGTCGAATTAGGGAACATGATCTCTAGTGCAATGTAGTATTGATTCACGATTACTGGAATGTACAAACGCGTACAACCCTCCCATGGCTTTTTCCCAACACTCGGTGACAGCCTGATGACCCACTCGAGCATATACACGGGAATTACGTACTCTTTATCTAGAAGCTGGAGCGACTGATACTCAATGATAATGGCACGGAAGAACTCAGTGTTCAGTATTATGCGGCCAGGCTTGTGGAATGATTGTGGATATCTCTCAACTCAATCGCACAACAAGTCCATGACCATGTCGATGTGTTACATCAAGGAAAATAAATACATAAATACTTATTTCATTTACCAAATTAAACATAATGTATACAAAAAGTAATAATAATACTTCACTTACATCGTCGGCTTGCCAAGCCCCCTGAGTGGTGATATCATGGAACCACTTGTATGCGTCCAATATCGTCCTTCCGGCTATCATGTGTGTGGCTCTGAAAATAAAATAGAAAAAACGTTAAACGAAGCATATATGAGTTCTGGTAGTTTACTAAATCATACAATACTTACCCGGGCAACATTCTTCGCCACTCAACTTCGAATGCTTTCCACTTGGCATGGTCGACCTCCTGGAACAGATTGGGGTTTGTCCCATCGACGAACCTCCTCCTCTTCGCCTCATCTATGAAGGGAGAGACGACATACTGTGACGGTACTCTCGGCCTCTTGCCGACCACTGTCTTCGGCATGTCAACACCATTTTTTGCCTTATACACTGCCACCTCCTTCACCCTAGGGCTCGCCACCTCCTCCATTCCCTCATCTGCCACGGTCTCCATCCCCGATAGGGCCACTCCCTCATTTGCCACCGTTTCCCTCCCCGACGGCCCCTCTCCTCTGCCACTGCTCCCGTCCCATTGCGCTCCACGGATAAAATAAACGATTCCCATGCATCATCATCATGTATGTATGACTGTCGGAGACCCTCATCTCTATCATCCCCATCCCATCACCCTCTCGATCACCGTCTTCGTCAACCCATCGCATACCGACCATATCACCTCAAAGTGCTACAATCTCATTCGACAAATCTTCGACCCTTCCTACCAACTGTCGTCCCAGATCATCAACCCTCTCTATCATCTCTCGACGCAGCTCGTCGACCTACCCTGCTATAAATCTGCTCAGACGGGCATACAGATCATCAAAAGAGTGCCTTGACTACGTGCGGGAGATCCACTAGAAAGGTCTCTGGAAGGAGGAGGCAGAGAAGATGCCCTCGGCGGTGGAGGAGATGCCCTCAGCGGCATTTCCGGCGGAGGAGAAGATGCCCTCGGTGGAGGTGGTGATGCCCTCGACGGAGGTGATCGTTGATCAATTGGATCACGTTCCTACACAAGCAACAACATTACAAATCATTAACTTAATCCGTAATTGCTAACTCTTAAAAAACGGTAATCAATAGATTTTATTCAATTCGCTCACCTAATCTTGGTCGTGGATCGGATCGGACATCTGGTCGTCTTGGGTGTGCGAAATGCCTAATTCACGCACAAGACCCTGAGCCTCCTCCTCCATCGACAGCGTCAACTCAATTATGACTTCAAGCTGACAGATTAACATTTGAACTAGTTAACGATCATGCAATCAAATGTTAAATCACGCACAATATAATTTACAAATGCATAATACTCACCCGAGAGTCGTCGAGGATAGCCGATAATTGTTTTTCAGTAGGACATCCCTCCGATCGAGATACTCTCCAATGGTGCATCCGAGAGCAGCATGTCTCCCCTTGCCTCTCAAAGCGGGCACCCAATATGGGGACGGTCTCATACGCCCAGATCTGCAACACATACAATTATTATATATAAATTCAATATGAAAATAATTTTAACATTCATTATGTTAACCATTTACCTGTACCGCTAGGGGCAATCCATAGGTGTCGTACTTACGCATGACTCCCTTCAGCTTCGAGTGCGATCTGGTGAAGACGTGTACGATGTCCCCAAAACATCTCCGGCCCCACGGATAGTCGTTGAAACGATCGATACCATCAATGATCTCCAGATGGAAGAGGTCAATCGCAGTCTTCTTATGGTGACACCGTACTACGCTCTCAATGATGTAGACCAGACCTAACTTCAATATGTCTAACATCTGATCACACCTCCTGATTGCGTCCAACAGCTGTGTAAGAAGCATAGTTCCCTATCCCTCGAAGTAAGTGTCATGAAGCTTAATCTTCTCTGAGTCCCATCACCAGCTGCTTCATTGTCCGTAATCTTTAATCTCGTGATCAAAGCAAACTCGAACATCGAAAAATTGGCAACTTTACCCTCGATTGCGAAGTGGAGGGCATCGCCATCGACTGGACTCAGCAATCGACATAGAAGTGCATCAATAATCTAATCTGAGTATTGCAGATCTCTCAACGGGTACAAGGGTCACGGGAAGGACTGACGCAGCATATCAGCATGCTGATCATCAAGCAGCTCTAACACAACTGTGAAATTGTCAAAACTACTATTCCACGTAGCTTTGCCTAGCATCTGTCTCAACTCTGCGTTAAGATGAAAATCCATCCTTTAAAAATTCAAAATGTTAGAATATTGTACAAGTGATAATAAAATAAAGCATAATAACAGAAAATTTAGCGAACGAAATTGTAACTACAATACGCAAGACGAAGATTCATAATAATTAAAATCATCAATAATGTGAATTTTTTTATCCTATTATCAATAATGTCAATTTTTCCCAATCATCACAATTTTTTTAATCAATTCAAGTTCAAAAAATATTTAAATTCGATGAACGAAAATAATATTATTTATAAAAAACTAATAATAAAAAAATATTAAATTTCAAATTAAAATTTCAACAATTATTTCAAATTACAATTAAAAAATTAATTAAATTTGATCAACGAAAAGAATATAATCCAAAACTATTAATAAAACTAAAAGTAAATAATTTATTTAAATTCGACGACTAAATAAATTATTATTTATCAAAAACTAAAAATAAAAATAAATATTAAATTTCTAATTAAATCTCCAACAATTATTTCAAATTACAATTAAAAACATTAATTAAATTTGATGAACGAAAAGAATATCATCCAAAACTATTAATAAAATTAAAAATTAAAAGTAAATAATTTATTTATATTCGACGACTAAATAAATTATTATTTATCAAACACTAATAATAAAAATAAATATTAAATTTCAAATTAAATTTCCAACAATTATTTTAAATTAGAATTAAAAACATTAATTAAATTTGATGAACGAAAAGAATATGATCCAAAACTATTAATAAAATTAAAAATTAAAAGTAAATAATTTATTTAAATTCGACGACTAAATAAATTATTATTTGTCAAAAACTAATAATAAAAATAAATATAAAATTTAAGTTCACAATTAAAATAATTATTTCAATTCGATGAATCAAAAAAGTATTATTTACCAAAAATTTGAAAATAAAAATAAATATTAAAACAAAATTAAATGTAAAAATTTTATTTAAATTTAGTCGTAACAATTTTATTTAAATTCGACAAGCTAAATAATTTATTATTTATTAAAAAAATAATAAAAAATTATTTAAAATAAAATTATTAAATTATATATTACAAAAAATTGGACTGAAAAAGAAAAAAAGTGGGCCGACAGTCGGCCCACTAATTTGGGCGGACCGTTAACAGTCGGGTTTTAACACAAAAATGCCAGCTGCTCCAGCAGCCAGCGTTCCTTCAACTTTCTCGTCGAAAAATCATCATTTCGGATGAGAAAAGCTTCCAAATTTAAAACATCAACCATTAAAAACACTATATAAACCTTATTTTACTTATATAAACAACAATATATTAAAAAAATCTCTCACAAAAGAATCATTCACACTTTTAACCACAATCTAAATATTAATCCAACCAAATATTCAATATAATAATGGTTACCTTAACAAGAAGTGGTTCGTCGGCGATGGACTAGCAAGTTCTCCGACTGACTAAAAACCAACCTTTCTTTTTTCAGTTTTGTGAGAAGCCGAGGGGTGTTTTGGGATTTTAAGCTTTAAATTCGATTTTTTTTTTAAATTAAAAAGGCGGTCAAAGGTCACTTTGAAAATAGGGATGGGTTATCCGGTCATTTCCAACAATTTCCTCCCTGTTACTTAACTGCCTCT